TAGAAATAAATATCTCTAATATGAAGTCTAATGTTTAAACTAATCTTGTATCCCTTTAAGAATACATTATAAATCAATTAAAATATGCTGAAAGATGTAAATATAACATTTTAAGTTGAGTATGAACTACCGTCTCCGAGAGGACGTCGATGTCCCTCTGGCAGTTAAGGGGTTAACACATTTATGAATTTGTTCATATATATTAGCAATTGCACAAATCATTTACTCTGCTGATTATATTTACTAAGGTATTCAAAACATAAAGATTAAATATCAAAAGAACTAAAATAAGCAACAAAATACCTTCTCTTAAAAAAATATACCGTAGTAAGAAAAACATCAGGAAGCCCAAAAACAAAAACTGCAAAAGTTTAAATCACCATGACATCCATCGGAGGAGCTGTTTTTGTCTAACTTACGTCTTTCTGTTTTTTACTGCGTGATCCTCTTAGCAGAGCAGATGCAGTATAAACTAGGAGGACAAAGAGTAGGCAGTCTAAAATTGAGGGAAAAACATCTTCTTTCATGCTTTGAATATCAATTATATACTCAACCACCTGGATGACTAACTGCTGTTTTTGCCCAGACCTGAAGTAGATCTTTTGTTACTGAGTTATTAATAATTAAGGACAGATTACACTTTTGCAACTGTACACATCAAATGTCTCTTGGGTCTGGTTGCGAACCAGTTTTGCTGGTATGCTTCTTCGAGAACTCGCGAGAACTTCGGCGTCGCTGGCGGGAGTGCTTATCCTCCAAAACAACAATGGTGTGTCTGCAAGATATCACGGTCATGGAGATGGATCTAGAGTTGCTAGACATCGAAAAGGAACAGGTTCTCTTAAAAGAGCAAATCTGCTTGATTAACCTTTCATCGTAGTTTTCCTTTGTACTTGTTCCTCTGTTTTTAAAAATGGTATGGCACCGAATCGAGAAGGACGACCACACAGACAGCCGGAAAGGCATACCATGGACCAATCACAGCTGCTTTTTGTCTGCGCACTTCCACTTGAGGTCTACGCGGGTTTGCGACAATCTGCCACGTAGTCAGGATTTTTTTGAGGTGCACGATGACAGTTGCAGAACCTCTGCGCGGGGGGCATGGTCGCACACAGAGACAGATTTGACGGTTGCAGAGGTTATGCGTCAAACGCATAAATCGGCCTTTAGAGAGAGGAGAGGGTACATTGTGTGGTATTATTGTTTTTTTATGCTAAGAATTACACCAGAAGGATGCTATTAACCTGTTGTTTGGCCTTTATGGACAATTAGCTGAACAGGATTTCATTTAGAGGTTTAAAATCCCGTAACATTATCAGTGACCCATCACACCCCCATCACAGACTGTTCTCCCTGCTGCCCTCTGAGAAGAGGCTTTGCAGCATTTGATGCAGGTCAAGCAGATTCCGAAACAGCTTCTTTCCCCACCGCATTCAGACAACTGAAATGTTGAGAAAACTCTAAATCGTGTCACAGACTCTGCATTAAACTGACAACACCAAACCAAAACACTGCATAATTGCACCATATATATATTTACTACTTCTCTTGACCTCCATATCAATGCAGTTTTTTGCACCATGTTTTTTCTCCCATGCTGTCTAAAGTTGATCACTGCTGCATTTTAAGAAATTGAAATGTCATGAGAGTTGTACCAAATGAACTTTCTTATTGTACACACTCTGTGTATACAAAACCACAATAAAAGTTGTCCAAGTCTAAAGAGTAGAGGGGAGTGAAAACATCCATCCATTCACACATTAAGATCAACATAAGTTTGCCATCATGTGCTTCGCTCCACTTTAGCAAATATCCTTATTAAAAATAATCAAAAGTTAAAAGTAATGAATACTCCTTCATATTTGACCTACTGTCTGCCGAAGGTACAACACACACTTCTAAGCACTTGACAGAATTCCATTTAAGTAAATCCAGAAGTTTTCCTCCAGGCAACCATTTCACACTCAGCTTATAAATGTGTTACATTTGATTTGCAAGTGATTGTTCAGTGTGATGTATACATCCTCTTATGGTTTCTATTATATCATCCATGCTCCAAAGAACTATCCGCTAAACAATTATTCACACAGACTATTTTCTATTTTAAGATACGTCTCATTGACAAACCGCTTTACAGCATCGACTGCTGATGATATCATGAAGCCAGTGAACAAAAAGCTAATTCAGAGTGCAAACGCATCTTCAGTCTGTAATGGTGCTCTGGTTTCCCACATTTATTTAGTTGATATGTGTTTTTTTTATATATATATATATCCCTTGCCTTGCAGACAGGGCAGAGCATTTTGCTGCTTTGCTTTTAAAAGAGCATGCATATACGCCACCCAAGATTATATGTCTGCATAATTTGACTATAGAAATCATCTCTGTTGTCAGTATTCCTCTTACAGGAGGTTTGGATTAAAGAAAAATAGTTGTTGTTACAAAAAACATAATTGCTGTTTTTTTATGTGTCTGTATGTAAGTCTATGTAGGAATGTTCATGCATTTATTTTTGAAGAAACATGTTTTGGTTTAGATTTTGCTTCATTTACTGTTAAACTATTTTGTGTCCTGTTGCACAAAAAAAAGATGATAAAACATTAGCATAGCATAAAGCAGGAGTGAATACTTTTAAAAGCATGTAAGGCTTTTCACAAAGTGATTTCCAACTCATTGTATTTATCTTAATTTAGCGCAGTCAGTCGATTTTTATCATATTCTTGGATAAATTTCCAGCTTTTTGCATCTCAGAGGGTGATTCTAAGAATGAAAGCAGGTTGACAAGTTATCCAAGGCGATGATTAGAACATGCATTCATCTCTGTATTACAGCAGGCAGTCATGACTTCATGTAGATTACATTTCCGAGAGACGCTGGGGGAAAAAAATACCCTTAAAGCAGATTCACATGAATGAAACGGTCTCTCTCTCTATGTGTGGAAGTCTTATGCTTTATATGATTTTACATAAGTGTTACATTTTCCAATTTCACTGCAAACTAGGGGAATGCACTTGTTTTCTTCTTAACAGACGAAGATGAAAAGAAAGCTGTTTTATATTCATATGGCATTAATACAGTTTGTGTGCATTCTTATCAGGCTATAAGTCCAAGATATGGAACTATCTTAAAATGTGATATTGCTTCTCTTTGCAATAAAACAGAACTATAGGCTTTTTTTACCCAGAGGAAACAAAGTAGATAAAGAAATAAAAATGTCCCCTAAATTAATGGCATTAATAATGTTCATAATTTAGTTATTTTCAGTGTTTTGGTGATAATTAAAAAATAAATCCCCTATTAACATTTTATTCTGCAGAACTGTTCAGACTGCTGTTCTGTTAATCAAGATAAGGCCCAAAATGTATTTTTTTTAACACAAACACATATGCCCCTGAGGTGTTGTGCAGTGTTCTACTTCACTGCTATCTAAGTGGTTATACCACTTATTTCTGCAGACATAAGTGGAAATGTATGTAGGTTCTCTGTGTTTTTTATTTATATTTTTTTAATATCAGATCCCTTTAAATCTACTTTGACCCCTCAGCAGTGTTGACCAAGTGAAAAATTGAAGAAATAAAACCAGAATTGCCAAAGTTGAAATCAGAATGTGTTTTTGTTTGTTTTTTTTTGTTTTTTAGAAATGAAGATTGATTGATCTGTGTGTGATGCACAATTAATAGGAGATCAGGAAGTGTTTGCTTTTGGATGGAAACCTTGTATGTCTAAAACCATTCCCTTATTGTACATTTTGTCAGCTTGTCAGTCTATTATTTTAATCAATATAATGTTTTGAACTAGATCTGCTATTTTCATAGATTTTGTGAGACACTTTTCTATAATGTATGGTATTATTTGATAAAAAAAAGTTTATTTGAATTGATTCAAATTTTTCTGCCCAACAGCAATGATGAACTGCACTGCAGCATTATATACCCAGCTATCGTAGTATCTAGGCTAGAGCTGTCAGTCTGCTGAAGAATTTGGTTGTTATTGGAAATTATAAAGGTTAACGGTTTTATGAAGTGCAACATAAAACTGACTTTGAGTTTAGTCGACTAAAACTGACTAAAACTATCACATCGTAATGACTAAAATGTGACTAAAGCTTATAGTAGTTATCCTCCTGAAGATGAAAACTAAGACTAAATTTAAGATAGGTGTCAAAATGAACACTGGTGATGTTGCATTTCTGAGGTACAGTCATGTCAAAACGATATTTAACTAACTTTATCATCAAAAACAAAGATTAAGCCATAAAGTGTTAATTCATTTGTGAATCTTATGAATAAATCCGAAATAAAAGTAACATTGAATAACTTAAAGTGCAGTTTTCAGGAACAATCTAGATGATAATCTGAGTACTTAATCTGAGTATAAGAAAGCAGCCAGATAATAACCCTTAAATTATACTCTACTGCTTTTTTGTTATTATTTTGTCTTAAACAATAGATGTAAGATATTTAAGTTAAGAAGAAAAGGACCATGTTTTTTTTCTTCTCAATGACTGTATAATGAAAGAATGCAGTTCAGGTAGCTAGATAAGACTTGCATTGATATGTTTGTTATTGTGATGGCTGAACACAGAATCTGGTGGTGTTTCTGTGGCCTTCCAGTAGGTTCTCACCTCAGGCTCTGCTCTCCTCTCTCAGGTTTACCTCTTAATCGCTAATGATGATTAATCTGGACTGGGAGCTTATTGGCAGCATTGTGTTATTGGCACACTGACAGGACTGTTAAGATGAATAACTATGCAAGTGTGCAGAAACGTGTTAGTCAGAGAGTTTTTTTTTTTTTTTTTTAGTTAAATCCATTGATTCTGCATCTGTTTAATGTAGAAAAATGGATTTGTGGGAAAAGGCTTGTAAACCACATCTAAATTACTCAGATTTTTCTAATGTTAGACGCTCCCTTTATCAGACCAAAGCAAATGGAGATTTATTAACAGGCATCAAAAAACCACAGAGGTGATTCCGAATGTGTTCCTCCTGCCGTGTTTGCAGGACATGGTTCGTCGGGGGGAGATTCTGGACGAAACCATGGAGGACGAGTTCTACCTTCGGCGTCTGGACGCCGGGCTGTTTGTTCTTCAGCTGCTGTGCTATATTATGGTGGAGATCAGCAACTCAGGAGTCTCTCAGGTACGCACCAACACACACATACTGACTTTGGCTTTTTAAATGAGTTTTCTCCCCAATCAATTATCATTAAGGCTTTCGATCAAGTAGCCTGTGGAAGCAGACAGCCATCAGGTTGTTTATGGGCTTGTTGTACCCAATTAGCTCACACAGTTTATACACCGAATCTGAGTCACCTAAACCTGTTAAGGGCTCCTTTTTATTTCTGTCATGAAAAATTAGACACTTTCTAATCACGTTTTGACCAGAAAATATCTTGTGTTCATTTTATACTCTTTAAAGGGAAGTAAAAATCTTTAGGTCCTTTAATTCTTCTTTATTAGACCAACAGTTGGTCTGATATTGACCAAGCCTCCGTGTTTTTATTAGTTATATTGATTGGTTGGTGTGTGCCATTAAATCGGAATTGAAAAAAGCAGTTCTGCTCACTTTGTGTGTAAGAAGATATAAATTATAGTTATCCAGGATAGCTCATTAAAAAACAAATAGGTTGAAAACACATCTTAGTTATTTTATCACTGGTTTTAAGGGATGTTAGTCAGATGGGATTATATGTGGTTCTCATATGGACTAAGGGTATGTTTAATAAAACAAAGACAAACTGACTAAATGCTGAAGTTTAGGCAAGATGCATCTTTTTCTTTTAAATGGTGCCACATTTATAATTCATTCTAGGTTAAGCAGTAGAGTTGAGTAGTTTTGTTGCTCAAACTGAGCCTATTTGGCCTCTAATCTCGTCATACTGGTCACCAGTTTGATCACACACTACTGTGGGATGGCATCTCCATCCACCAATGTGGCTGTGTTGGTCTCTACTATATGAGAGCTGCTCGATCGATAATCCTACAAGCTGTTCAGTAAGGTTGAGTTCAAAGCTGCTGGCAGGCTGTTCCATTTTTAAATTTTCCCACATTTGGAAATGGTTCTTTATCAGCTCTGCTCTGTCTGAGCAAGGGTTCATTCACATCTGAAAGTTGAATTTGTCCCTAAAAGTTAAGGTATGGGATTCCTACTAGTTGTAGCATCTTGTCTCAATACTTTCTGTATTTAGATTGCCTTTAACTGTTCTTTTTTTTTGTTTGTTTTTGAGGAAGCACATAAATATAGTACAGACCAAAACTTTGGACACACCTTCTCATTCAAAGAGTTTTCTTTGTTTTCATGACTATGAAAATTGAAGATTCACACTGAAGGCATCAAAAATATGAATTAACAACATGTGGAATTATATACTTAACAAAAAGGTGTGGAAAAAAATGAAAATATGTCTTATATTATAGGTTCTTCCGAGTAGCTTTTGCTTTTTGCTTAAGATCCTGCTGAGTTACAGCTGATGAGGCCTCTGGCCAATCAGTGAATATCAAATTGTTCACGTCATGTGCCGCCATGTTTGGCACAGTTCAGTGCTGCTCCAGAGGAGGTAACAAAACACAAAACCAGACTAAGTGGAGTTCAGCCGACCAAAGTGGAGCTGGTAGAAACGGCGAAACTCAACTCCACTTCTGAACCCCAAACTTTACCCATAAATATGTTTATCATTAGGTGGCTCGAGCCAAAATAAGACCCTATTGGATGCGGTAGTCTTGGCAACATGTATCTTTATCCAATAAGATGTTTATGTTTTTGGTGTTAAATGAGAAACAGAAATGTAGAAGCTGAGGTCTGTTTTCTTTTTTCCCTCCTTGCTTCAGAGAACATAGTTTAGCACAGCTTCATGTTGGAACAGCAGCTTAAAAACAATCATTGTAATTCAGTTTTCCTTTTCCTTCTTCAGCTTCAGCAGCGGGTTCATCAAATTCTTAATATAAGGGGAGGCTCTGTCAAAGTGGTGCGCCACATCATGAGAGGTGAGTACAGCTGTATGCATTAAAACCAGTTTCTGTAAAGTTCTTTTATCCAATAATACACCCAGGTTGTTTAGGCTTCATATTTGCACTCTGTGTGCTAAACATATCATATTTCCAGATACATAAACACATTTCATAGGTAGGAGTGAAGTAGTTTTCTCAGTGAAGACACCTCAGACTTATACCAACGCTAAGGTTCGACTTCTTTTATAGTTTGCTGTGAAGGACAGTCCAGCTTTATGCAAGTGATGACTCATAATCTAAAACTGATGGAGATTTTATCAGATATAATTATTTTAATCCGTATTCATCAAATTCATAGAATTATTATTTATTGTAGATAAAAGCTCAACTAAAAGCCATTTTCCCGATGTAGGCCTCCACTTGGATAAAACAGGAGTAAAGAACTTGGTAACAGTACTAAATAAGTCTCACTTTTCATTCATCTACTGAATATATATACTTGGATTATCTGTAGGGTCTTGATGTATTTTATAATTAGTATCTATTTTTTTTTTTTTGTTATTTCTTAGTATGTTTTATAACCTTTCTCATCTTCCTTCTTGAAAGATTGTTTTCAGGACTTTTCTTATATTTCTTGGAAAATTATGCGAAAGGTTTACATTTCACTGTCAGAAAAAAATAAACTGAAGTCACTTCAGGGCAATAGAATTGGATTTGTGCCACATTTGTCTGTAATGTGAACGTAGCTCTAGTTAAGTTATGTTATTAAATGAATCTTTCCTTAAGTTTCCTTAAACAATAACTATTATAACAATGAGAAAATATATAAAACCTAGGAAATCCCTGAATTCTTTCTAGATGTGCTCTAGCACCCCTCATATCAACCATCCTAAAGCTCATAAACCCCAGCCTGGTTATTTGTTTATTTTTGAATGTATTGAAATTGATCAGTTTCCATTTGTCAAGATTACAATTTAAAACAGGTTCAAAGCCTTCAGGCCAGCATTAAATCTGTTACGCAACAGTCCAGTGCAGAGCGTTTCTGTAATGTAAAAGTAATCTGAAGGGTTTTGAAAGTCTTACAAGGTTTGATTGCCTGGAGAGTCTTGTTTGCACTTTTGTTGTCAACAGCCCTCCACTAGCAGCTTAGTAGCTGAGTCATTTTACAGTTTCAGCTGAAGTGAAAAAAAAAATGTGGTATTCGGTGTTGCATCTCCTTATTCTTTGTGTCTGCAAGGAAATCAGAACGTTAATCATAGAGAATCCAAACATTTTGACGTTTACTGTGCAGATATGAACAGGCATAAATTATGCATAAGAAACTAGTGGCTGAATTGATTTCACAGGAGAGAAAATTTCACAGGAGAGAAAATTTTAAATTGGTTCCTTTTGGTTTTTGGCAGCAAAAATGACAGACCACATGCACTCAACAAGCCTCTAACAGATGCTAATGGTGCAGAATGCAGGAGTTGTAGACATCCATCTTAGACTGTTGAAAATAGTGCAATCTTCAGCCTTGTTAAAAGTTCTTTATCAAATGCTTCCTCAGAATTGAGGTATTCTCACCACTGGTCTTGTACTTTACAAATATTGCAGCAGTGAAATCAGCCTTGCATTTTGGAAAGTGGAGCCTCCTCTCAAGTACTTTCTATGAGCCCTGCTTTTAGCGTAGCAGCAGCTTCTGATGCAATCACACTATTGAGCGTATTATGTTGCTTTCAATGTCTGCCACTTTACTGTCCCTCTCCATCACAATGATGCATTTAGGTACCAAAACGGTTGGATTTTACCTGAATGGGATATTTATAGAGCCGATGGAATTAAATTAGTACCAATAAAAGTACAGATTTCAGTACCCATCACTTGGCCAAGGCAATATTGCTTCAAAATTGAATCTTCAATTCTTTCCTACCAAATCCGATTAATGATTTTTTTTTTCTTTCTCTCTGTTAAATTTCATAAGTAAAATGATTTTATGTTAATTATAAACATTGATGCAGCAGAATTCAAGCTAAGACTTGCTTATAAATCAATGGTTTATATCAACAAACAATAAAAGTGTAACACAGGCATCCCCAAAGTCAGTCCTCGAGGGCTGCTGTCCTGCAAGTTTTAGAGGTTTCTCTGCTTTAGCACAGTCGATTCTGATGATTGCAGTTGAGCAAAAGCCTGTTAATCAGCTTTCAATTAAAACCAGCTGTGCTAGAGCAGAGAAACCTCTAAAACCTGCAGGACAGCGGCCCTCGAGGACCGACTTTGGGGATGCCTGGTGTAACACCTAAATGTTTGCAGCTTCATCAGCTCTGAGTAGACATCTAAAAACTAAAGGTCATTAACTTATACAAGTCTTAGCTATGGAAGACCAAGGATAGATTGATTGAAAACAATCTAGATTTCCAAAAATAAAATCTTTACACACAGAAAGTTTGACTTATTGATCAATCTGCCAGTTAAATCCTGTTAAAACATCTAAAGGAACCTTTTAAAGATTAATTTGAAATTGAATTGAAATCATGCCGCTTGTTGTGTTCACACTGAATGCATTTTGGGCATCAAAAATGTTTAAACAGCGAAATTTGGACGCCGGGTCAAACAGTGGTCAAGTTGCTTCGACGCTCTGGAAGCTCGGCACTTAAGCTAGAGATCAGCTTGACTTTCTTACTTTATGAGTTGGAAAAATAGTTTTAACACCTTTTAAAGTGACAAAGTCCACCTCCAAACATCTGTGCAGTCAGTTTATCAGGGTTATGATCCTATTAAAATTTGCAGTTCTTGTTCAGAGCGCCAGAACTTCAGCATACCGCCGGGAGGCAGCACTGGAAATCCCTGCTGGGAGCTCTCTGCAGTGGCCAGCCTGTGTGGGATTTCCCACTGCTGTTTGTAACCATTATAAAGAGTTTTTAAGGTTTGTGGTAAAAACTGCAAGTACCAGAATTTACAATCAAATATAATAATTTATAAACTGTTTCACCATAGCTAATAAAAAAAATCATTAGTGGAGCAATAATGATCAGAGCTTGCACTCCTTTTAAACCTTTGGATTTGAACCTTTGATATTTTATTTATTTTTCATACGCAGACAGCTCTGCACAAACAATAACAGTATGTGTCTTTCTCCCCCAAAAAACTTCTGGATCAGCTTCTCTAATTGGTTGACGCTCTGGTGTCAAACAGCAAAAGTTCAATTTTCAATTTTCTCCGGCATCAATTCTTGGACACTCTGACGCCAGGATACTTGGGTGCGCCGCTCTCGATGCTTTAAATAAGATTATGCATGTAAATCAAAAGCTTTGATGCCCAAAACGCGTTTAGTCGGACAAGCTGGGCAAGGAGAACATTTATCAGATAGGCAGCCAGCAGACTTGTGGTAACTCTGGAGGATCTGCAGAGAAGTGGAGAGAATATATGTCATATACAGGTAGGTCATGCAATGAAATAATCTGGGTGGTGGTTAAGTGGTAACAAGAAACCCACTGTGGACACAGGAAACATGGAAAGATCAGATGGCAGAAAACTTTTACTGCTCATTACCACACATTTATGTTGGGGAGGACTTTCTTCAGCAAAGACATGAAAGGAAGTCATTGCTGATAGAAGAAAATTGAGTTAAATAAAGTTAAGTCCATTAAGAACCTGATAAAGACTCGAAATCGGGGGTAAGGGGTTCTAAACCTACAGCCAAGAGATAATAAATGGCAAGACATGAAATGTTGTGTTCATAGAAGCTCACCAGCTGAGCTTTATAAAGTTTACCACCAGAGGCAAAGTCCAGAAGACTTTAAGGCGATTTTCCTGCCAAAGAAAGTTGTTTATGCTGAAGTATTTTATTTCTAACATTTTACAACCCTCCCAAAGGCTGTTAAGTTTGTCACAACTTGACCAACTGTGGGAAGGTTTTAGGGATGGAAATACTTTTCTGTGGTACTGTGTTCATTTTTATACTGAAACATCTTTAAAGTAAATATTCATGTAGAGCACATCTCATGCCTCTATAGAGACCATGTTATAGTGTGGCAGCTCTGACATGTCTACCGAATATAAAATACCGATGGGAAATAAAGATGTAACTGTAGTAAACGCTGGGAAATACACCCAGGCAGAAGTGTTTATTGGTTTTTATACATACTGGCAGTGTTCAGATGATAAAACTCTACACTCAGATGCTTCCTGGCATGTATATTTGCGCTGCAGTGTAATCAGAGCCTCCCCTGGAGAATGAAACAGACTTGTTTCTGCTTTAACATTCCCAGTCCTGCCGTATTAGTTTTTTTTTTTTGTTTGTAGCAGGTGTGTTATTTTTGTCCTTGTGCGCCATCCATCCTTCCTGTTTAATCGTCGGGTACAGCTTGAGCACGAGGCTCCGATCACACACCCTCTGGCCTTTGTGGCGCGTAACGCTGTAGATGGAGTCATCCGTCACACTCGCCAGCAGCCGTGGCACCTCTCCAGTCCTCCAAGCACGTTTGTGTTTGTGCGCACATACGGGAGGATGTTGTTGTGGTTTGCGTCGCTTTAGTGCTCATCTGCATATTTGCATATACTTGTGCCTGGCTTGTCTTCACACTGTTTTTCCTTACTAACACTGTTTTCTGTGTTGATAACTCAGTTTCCACTTTATTAATTACACATTCATGTTTTTGCTCCTGACTTTAGTAACTTTGTTTTTATGTGGGTATTTCTCTTGCATTTGCTTTCCATACCTACCTATAGTGTGATTTTTCCACATCGCTACTAGTTATCTGTCTGTGTCTATTTTAGCCAATGATCAGAGCATCCGATCACCCTTAATATATTTTTGCCTCTCAGTGTGTGTCCTCACCCTTTTCAACAGGCCAACTTCTGCAGACCTTTCCCATTTTAAGTGCCCCTCCTGGTCAGCTTGAAATTGCAGGAAAAGGTTAAGTACATGCAGAGTGGGCCACCGACTGAGCTGTTTTGACCCTTAATGGCTTTAGCTGGCCACATTTAAAGCTGCACTGCTGGATGAAGATATCCTCACCCTAATTCTGAGGATGAGAATAACATCCTGTAAGGTC